TATTTTTTAGTTGTTTTTATTTTTTAGTTTTTATATTTATATTTTATTTTTTTATTTATATTTTTTATTTTTATTTTTTATTTTATTTTTTTAATTTTTTTAATTTTTTAATTGTTTTGTATTTTTTGTTTTTTTTATTAATTTTTTTGTTTTTTTTGATTTAATTTTTATATTTTTGTTTTTATATTTTTTATTTATTTATTTATTATTTTGTTATTTAGTTATAATTCACTTCAGAAATATTATATGAATCACTGGATTCTGATTTTGCATTGTAATATATTTTAAATATAAGTATATTTTTATAAGTGAGAATTTCTAATTTTTACCGAAGGTGAAGATCACTGTCGATCATATAACACAAAATATTGTTAAATTATATCGCATATAAATTAACCAAATTTCAAATTACATAAAATTTTTGCTTATAAAACTGCTACATATATAAAATGTTTTACACATAACAATGAAACTAAAACTTTACAATTTAAACCTAATTGCAAAACCCTAATCCTAACCGAATAGTAAATTTGTACATATATAAACTACTTTTTTAACCAGTAATGGTAATACTAAATTTATGGATAGATTTAACGATAGTTAGAATTAGTCAACACTATATCACAACTTTGATTATTAGTAATCTCAAAAAATACATTATATCATAAAAAGTGAAACAAAAAGTTGCTTGTGCTCTAAATAACTAATAGTAATAATGATAACATAATTGTACTACAAATAGTATTTATGCTATTATATAAATGCTACCTATTCTTTCTGTATTGCATGATTTTTAATCTTCTATATATATATCGATATATGTATAAAGACTTACTAATTACATATATTGGTTTGCTGTTAACAGAAATCAAGCCTAATTTCTATTAACAACAAAATATTATACAAACCCTATTAGTTATTACCATTCTTCTCATTATAATGCTATACATATGTAATCTAAAAAAGGCAAACAAATTACTTATCGAAGTTCATACGTATGTACGTATTGCTATCGCTATCAAATGATTTGAACGTACATATAAATTTAGTAAAATATCACAAACAGCATTCTTTTTCAATTGACAATGCAGATTACACAATACACATAATACATATTTCAACAATAAAGCTATGCTATGAATAACTAATTCTTAATTTTGCATAATGCCCTATTATGGCTCTTATTTCCATAATTTTGACATGTTTTTCTAGTACCTTTTTCTTAAATTTCATGTTCTTCAGTAAAATGTTGCCTTTTTTTAACCTGTTGATCTTGAATTTTAACATTACTTTTAGTTTTGCCAAGTGGCCGTCCTTTTCGTATGCTAATTACAGGATTTTTAATATTGTATTCAAGATTATTCATCATTGTATCTGATTTTTGACTTGCTTGTTTGTCCATTATAAACCTATAGCAAATACCCATCAACTCATCATATGAACTAGTCACAATTGCTATATCAAGTGCTTTTTGCATAATACCTTGCCCTCTACCATACATTTGTTGTGTATTATTGATATTTCTTAACATTGGATTATAAACTTTGGTACTTCAGATTTGTTTTATATAATCAAATTTGTGTACTGATTGTTCAATGATATTTTGATCTTAATTTTGGCTTGAATTTATGCATATAGTAATTGGTAATTGCTGCCAAATATCATTGCCATCAAAAAAATTTTCTTTATACCAACATAGTGCAATAAGTCCTATATGCCACTTAGCCTGAGTAGAACAATGTAAAACCTTATAAAAATGTCGACACAGATATCCATGAGTTATAATCATATTATATATGCATCGATGAGACCCATCCACTAGCAATATAACAATGTTTTTTTTAAATCCACAAAAGATGCCCACCCTTTAAATTTCTATAATCTGATCTTGTTTAATTGTTAATATAATATCTGCAAGATAAATTTTTGGAACTTCTTATTATCTTCCTGTGCTCCCTTAATATAATCAATATTTACTTGCTCCTATTAGGCCATGCAAAATATTTTAGTATAGTGTAATTGAAAAACAAAAGAAAATTAAGGGTGACAAAGTAATGGCTCAAAAATTTAGCAATATTGTGATCTTTGAGCCAAATCGAAATAGAAAATCACATCGATCTCAAAAGTTTAATAATATGATTTTCTATTTTAATTTGGCTCAAAGATCACAGTACAGCCAAATTTTTGTGCTGTCATGTCACTAAAAATTAATGCCAAACATACTTGTGTTATAAAATCAACAGTCAATCTATCTATTTAAAAACTATTATAATAAAAACATTCCTGCATTTGCCTATATATGGTAAATACCATTCGAGATAAAAGATACTGTGAAACAGCCTTCTCGATAGAATTAAAGTAGGTTGTTATAATAGTTGGAAGACTGGTTATAGGGATTTGCTCTTTATATTCCTCAACTCTTATATACTCAGATTCTTTATCAAGTAATTCATGAATTTCCTTTGTTAAGTTTAAAAGTGATGAATTTGACTAAATACGATCATGAATTTTGCGATTTAAACTTTTAACCTGTTGAGTACTATTTGTGCTGACTGTGAATTAATTATTTGTATAGCATATAGCCCATTTATGTTTATATGAATCTAGTTGTCATCTTATATAACTATTGACTGATGTATATTTTGCTTTTAACTTTCCCATCGACTTTCGAAAACACTTAAAACTAATATATTTCTATACTTAAAAAAAGCCTCACGAAACTTTCTAAACTTTGTAAGACCCAACTTATTTCTAAGATTTTTTTTAGATTAAGATTAATGTGAAATATACATAAACAATGAATAGAATCTGAAAATTCCAAACTTATTGCATTAATCATTGCTGGATCAGAATCTGTAAATACAACTTTTGGTATTAAATTTTTCATATATTTTTTAATTATTTTTAATGCCCAAACAAAACTACACTCGTCTTGTCTTTGAGTAATGCAGTTGCAACAAGTCATGTTCGATTACAATTGTCAATTATAACAAAAAAACAAGCCATCATGTTGTACTTATTAGTGCGAGATGTCATATCAAAAAAAAGAACATCATGATAACGGGTCTATAAATTTTGTTACTCAGGTGACAACCATACCAATCCACATAATCGATGCTCCTTTTTCTCAAATTTAGTCTCTACAAACCAACGTGAATCCTCAGCTTGTTGTGAATATAATTGCCTCATGAGATCTAATGCATCAAATTCAACCCATGTTACTAATTTTTTTTTTGCTGCTTGAATCAAATTATAAAAACCTTTTTCATAAACATTTCTTTTAGGAAACTTTCTTCTCAAAATACATCCAATGCTTTGTGCACTAGTTACACCATGATGTATGCAGAATTCAATAAATTCAACCATGTCGTCACCAAGTTTCTGATATTTGGCGATGTTAGTTGTAGGTGAAAGTACCATAGGGTGATTATGCTTATCCACAACAGTAGTGAAAGTAATTAATGATGTACTTTTTGAAAGATTTGCATTTACTTTCCATTTACACTCTGTTGTTTTCAATTGTCGATTTCTTTAATCATTTGGATTTAATACCTTCTTTGCCTAATATTTACCTGCACAACTACATTCTCAGCTAAGCTTACATAAAACCTTATTACCATTCTTCATTTGATTTTCAGTTCATCTTCAACAGATGCTAAACCCTTTTTTTAATCCATACTTATTTAAGAAATTTTTAGCATCATTCCAACTATCAAAAGACTGACCTAAAGTTATTGAAAAGAAGAAACATCAAAACTTATCAGCCAAAGAACAGTATATATTTAGAGGTTGTCTAAAGCCATATACCTATGTGAATATTTTGTATAAATTAACCAACCAGAATTGCGAAATTTTGTTTATATAGATCAGCTTGAAGAAGTTAAAAAATAAAGAAAATACAAAAGATGAAAAAATGGCAGTCTAAACCTGTCTTAGGACATAATTAAAAATGTCAGAAAGGCAAATTTACCTATATCCCTTTTTTTATATCAACACCAATCTAACCTTAATTCTAACCTTAATTTTAAATAAATCAATTAAAGCATCAAAATTATGTGAGTACATAGCTTTAGCCATCCTTTATATTTAGGAAACTTACTATGTAGCATTAAATAAAAATGCCTAACCTATTTTAAGTGAAGAAAAATCTGATTCTTCATCAAAAGAGTCTGTGTCAAGCATAAATCTGTGACTAATACCATCATGATAACCTTCAGTCATTGCTTCATTTAATGATTTATTTGACTCTTTGTTTACTGTTCTGTTAATGTAAGTCTGTAACTAATACCATCATGATAACCTTCAGTCATTGCTTCATTTAATGATTTATTTGACTCTTCATTTACTGCTTTGTCAATCGTGAGTCTGTGACTAATACCATCATGATAACCTTCAGTCATTGCTTCATTTAATGATTCGTTTGACCCTTTATTTACTGCTCCATCAATCATGAGTCTGTGACTAATACCATTGTTTACTGCTTCATCAATTGCAACAACAATAGATTCTATTTCATCAGATAACTCTATAACTAAAAAAAATTGGAGTAAGATTAGTTAATATCGCGCAACTACAAATCTATTTAAAGGATGTTCCTTAGTATATACATCTATTTCCTTCTACTTTTGTTTTCACTTTTAACACACCAGTTTTTAACATACCTGCCTTTAATATACTTACCTTTAACATACCTGCCCTTAATGTATTTGCCTTTAACAGGTGTTAGCCATTTAACAAGACTAAGCTAATAATATTTCTGTATTCACTTTTAATGCACTTGCATTACTAGACTGTTTAATGGACTAAATTGATAATGTTTTTGTCTTTACTTTTAATACACCTATGTCACTGCATTAACTGATAATAAAATTCTGATTGCTTAACAAGAACAAATCGATAAGCAAAAAAAATTCAATTGTATATTGATTGAACCCTATTTATTTATATAAATTAAATCTCTGATCATCTACATTTGTCAAAATAAACTTATGCATGTAAATAAAGCACCATAATGATAAAAATAATTATCATGTGTAATCAGTGATTTCCCTCTCACTGAATCTTGTTATTTTCTTTATAAGCTGTCATATATATATATTATGTTTTGTGCATGATGCTTATCAAGAATTAAAAGTCAGTTAAACAGATTAAAAAAAATTAATTTGCTATTTACATCCTGCTTACATGGGATGTAAACAGTAAATATCGGATTATTAATTCTTGCATAGTGTCATGCACAAAGCGTAATATACCTTTTCAACTAGGTCTTAGGCCTGGGCATTGCCCCGAAGCTAGGTCCTAAGTGTTTTAGATCTCAGACTCAAATTTTGCTTCAGAAATAAACCTTATTTTATCTAAATCTCAGATCTGAATATTGCTCTAAAAATAGATCTTAATTAATCTAGATCTCAGACCCAGAAGTTGCTTTAGGAATAGATCTTATTTAATTTAAATCTCAAACCTGAAAGTTGTTTTAATTATTTAATTATATAATAAATTATTAAAATATAAAATCAAATATAATAA